TGTTGGAAAAACCCTTTAATTTGAAGAAACAAACTATCAGACTTTTACTATGTCAACTCTAAAACAGCTGTAAGGAAATAGCCCCTGAACAAGTCCAGCAGGGATATCTCTACTACCTAAACAAAATACAAGTTTAGATATATATGAACATGCCTTCAAAAATTAACAATGGGCAGGAGGAAAGACCTAAGAGTATATGGGGTAAGATCTAGATGATCAAAGATTGATGGGTTTGCTTTTAAAGATAGAAATACTTTTGGAGGTTAGCTGGGAGCTACTGATCTCGCTTGGAGGAGCAGGCTGCTCTGTATTGCTGTGTACATGCTTCAGTAAAGTGCTTTTCAGGTAGACATCACTGGTGGGTTTTTTTGTGTGTCTCAGGTTAAGACAAATGAACTTGGCTAATTGAGGGTTAAAATCCCTGACAGTCTAAAAGAGTTCTAGAGAAGCTAATCACCCTAATAAAAGTACAGGCAACAGCATACATGTCTACTCTGAAGTAATTTCCACTGAGTTCAGTGGGTCAAATGGACAGCAATAAAAGAAACATAAAATGAAAGAATGGAGTATCAGCATAAAATAATACTCAGGAGAGCAGATCATCCAGTGCTCTATTCATATTTATTATGCTGGCAATTTTCAATTGAATATCAGGAATATGGTTGCTACCTAGTTCTGTAACTAGACTTAACTAACTCTGAGTTAGCATAATTTTTAGATCCAGCTTCAGTGGGTAGGGTACAGACTCCACTTTGTATTTGTAGAAATTCAGAAAAATTACAACATGCAAATTAATACTGGTCAAGATAAGAAATCTGACCAACAGGCAATGAACAATTAAATACTGATGTTACTAATAAATCTTTAACGGTGCAATCCTATCCGTATTTAAACAGAAAAAATGAATACTGTTGTTCCCTTAATTGGTTTTTACCACAGCATTCAAACTTTATAAAATTGTGAACAATCTGAAAGCCTCCTAAGCTTTAAATGCAGCATTTGGAGGAAACTTTTTTCACTCATGGCCATATCCTTTGTGCAGCACGTAAAAACCTCTCCCAGCCACTGGCAATCAAGTTTAAAAGAAAATGTTTTAAATGTTTAAGAACTCAAAAACGTATGAGGGAAGAAAATTAGCCATGAGCACATGGTAAAGCCACGACAGTGAGTCTGAGAGGCCTGAATGATGGCCGCCATGTATGATGACCTGTGCAGGGAGAGAAACGGGGAGTGCGTTCCTGTTGGTCCTCCTGGACCTCTCAGCGGCTTTTGATACCATCGACCATGGTATCCTTCTGGATAGGCCAGCAGGATTGGGGGTTGGAGGCACTGCTTTGCAGTGGTTCCACTCCTATCTCAATGGCCGATTCCAGAAGGTGGTGCTGGGGGACTATGGCTCTGCACCATGGCAGCTATGCCATGGAGTTCTGCAGGGGTCCATTTTGTCCCCCTTGCTATTCAACATCTACATGAAACCACTGGGAGAGGTCATTAGGAGGTGTGGGCTGCGGAATCATCAGTACACTGATGATACCCAGCTCTACCTCTCTTTTTCAACCAATCCAGGTGAGGCAGTGGCTGTACTCAACTGGTGCCTGGCCAAGGTAATGGGCTGGATGAGGGCCAATAAACTGAAGCTCAATCCAGACAAGATGGAGGTCCTGTTGGTGGGTGGTCCGTGCTCTGGGGTAGGTGACTTGGACCTTGTCCTGAATGGGGTTGCACTCCCTGTAAAGGACAGGGTCTGCAGCTTGGGAGTGCTCCTTGACCCAGAGCTGTCTTTGGAAGCTCAAGTGACTGCGGTGGCGAGGAGCACTTTCCTTCAGCTTTGGTTGATCCATCAACTGCGTCCCTACCTGGAGGATGATTGCCTAGCAACAGTGACACATGCATTGGTTACTTCCCGATTGGACTTCTGTAATGCGCTCTATGTGGGGCTGCCCTTGAAGACAGTCTGGAAACTTCAGATGGTGCAAAATAGAGCAGCCAGGTTGCTGAGAGGAACTGGGCATTACTCTTACATAACCCCAGTCCTCTACCAGCTTCACTGGCTCCCCATCAAAGTCCGGGCCCAATTCAAGGTGCTGGTTATCACCTACAAAGCCCTTAATGGCTTGGGTCCTGGATACCTAAAGGAATGCCTGCTTCCATATTTGCCCTCCCACCCCTTGAGATCAGCGGCAGAGGCCCTCCTCCGGGAACCCTCTGTGAAAGATATGAGGAGGGTAAGTACCCAGAGGAGGGCTTTCTCTGCGGTGGTGCCCCACTTATGGATTGCGCTCCCCAGAGAGGTCCACCTGGCGCCGTCATTATTTGTTTTTTGGCGCCAGGCCAAGACTTTTTTATTTAAGCAATATTTTAATAATTGTTAATATTATTGGTTTTAATTTCTATAGCCAGGGTGAATCCGGATTTTATATGTATTATTTATATGATTGTTTGTTTATTATGTTGGAAGCCATCCCGAGGCTTATGCAAATGGGACAGCATACAAAAACTCCAAATAAATAAATAAATAAATACCACAACATAAATTGCGCATGTCTGAGACACTGTGGTTCAGGTGTTTCTAAGCAAATACAAGAAGTCTCCAATCCTAAATAGAAGAGCTGGAGACTCTGCTTTTACATGAAAAGCTAGACTGAGTGGGCATTTTGGAAACCTGATAAAATATGCATAACTAATAGGATATGGTCATCTCTCAATATAAACACAGAAACATAAAAGAGTCAGAAGGGGCCTCCTGGGCCATCTAGTCTGACCCCCTGGTTCCAGCCAGCTCCACTCATGAACATGTGATTGTCCAATCTTTCCTTAAACATCCTCACTGATGGGGAGCACACCACCTTCTGTGGAAGCCCATTCCATATCTTAGGGGTCCTAACCATCAGGAAGTACTTCCTGACATCCAACCTGAAACCTGGTCCCTTGAACTTTGCCCCATTCAACCATGTCCTTTCCTCCACAGGGGGGAACAGGTCATGACCCTCTACTGTGTGACAACCCTTCACATACCTATATGTCACTACACATACTGAAGGTGTTTCTCTGTACATTAAAGAAATATTACAATTAAAAAGATGCAAACTCTTCAACACAAGCACTGCGGGCAACAATTCCTGGCTCCCAAGTTAATTTAACTCTAGAAATATGGTATTGTTTTCCAGACTGGAATGCTTGGGGCTATCTTGAGATGGAGGGAGGCTTCCTCCAGAAAACAAGTCTTGCCCAAATGAAAATAAAAAAGAGCAGTTTGCACAAGGGGGATACAAACAGTTGATAAAAGTGACAAAAAAGAAAAAAGGAGTGTCTCATTACAAGCATCAAGGCTAAGAAAGAATTGTTTAAATATATCAGAAGGAAAAATTCGACTAGAGAGGCAGTTGGGCCACTGAATAATAACGGGATTAAGCAAGCAATAGCAATTTAAGAGTAGCTTGAATGCATTCTTTTCATGTCTTCCCAGCAGATGATACAGGAAGATACCTGTTTCTGAACTTATGTAGCCAGGGAGGGAATCTGAGAAATTACCGCTGATAGTTCTAACAAAAGATGAAATTCTCAAGCTTATTGACAAACTTAATAAATCACCAGTTCCAGATAGTATCCTTTTTACAAAAACATGTGACATGTCCCTAAGATCAGCCTCTGTACAAAAGGACTGGCGAATGACTAGTGTAATACCAATTTTTTAAAAAAAGGAATCCAAGTGGGAACTGGGAAATTACAAGCTGCTTAACTTAATATCTCCTCTGGGTAAATTGGTTGAAAGCGTTATTAAATATAGAATCTATAAGCATACTGAAGGAAAAGACTTGCTGAAAAAGAATCAGCATGGTTTCTGCAAAGCTAAGTTTTGTAGCTTTATATTTCTTGGACAGTGTCAATCAGTATTTGGACATTGGTGACCTGCTAGGGTAAAATCCTGAGTTTTTGTATACTTTTCCAACACTTGCTTTCTCTTCCACTGAGACAGCAAAAGGAACTTGTAAGTTCTCTTTCTACATACTTCATATCTAAAATTCCTCTTATCAGCCAGATGTATAAGTTCATTGCAGTGGTAGGGCCATTTCTGCTATTTCTCAGTTTCACTGCTTTTTTTTTTAAACAGTTACATACACCTCCCCCCTCGGATCGCCTTTGTGAAGAAATAGCACAGAGAATTTAAAACTGTATCTGGAAATACAAGGTCTGGTCTACTGTGGCTTTCCAATTCCAACAGCACTTTAGCTTTTTATTTCCGTCAGAAGTGCAACCTACGGCTCAGTGAAAACTTAGCACGGATGACTTTTCCCAAGCGCCTCAGTCTACACAAACTGGACACTGCCTTTAACCATTATAAATCATGGAAGGCCGGTTGTAGAGGGAAGAGAGGCTTCACTGGTGCCTTTCTTAAACATCTGGGGGCTTGACATTGTAAACACGCACCTCCGCGACCTTTTCCTGGCTGAACCCCTACGGGCGGCGGGGGAACGTGACGGGGAATTCAGTTTCCGGGTCTAACAAGCGCGGGCAGGAACATTCCTCCCTCCGAGAGCTGCACGGGGGCGCCCCTCCACTTGGTTTTTTTGTTTGTTTGTTTTCTTTTCGAGACGACCATTAAGTAAAGCAAGCTGTTCTCCGAACTGGCCCGGTTTTCTTCACCGTTCTCCGCGTCCAGCGCATTCGGCTTCAGCCACGGAGTTGACGTAGCGCTCACACAAACGCTGCATTCCGCCATCTGGCTCGAGGTTTTATTTTTTCCGCGCTCTGAAAAGAAAATGAAGGGGCGCCTCACCTAGAAGGAGCTGCCCGTCGCGATTCTTGCTGAAAGTTGGAGAGAGGACGGGAAGCGCTGTCCCCGTCTCCATCCTCTGTGGGAGAGAAAAGAAGCGCTCGCCGAAGAACCCTCTCGGCAACGCCGTGACGCCGATGCCCGATTTAAGCTTTGCCGAGCATTTGCTCGGACGTGACGTCCTAGGCGCGCGGCGCCGGCCGCAGTGACGCTTTCACCCGGCGCCGGCGGAGAGGCCGCGCCGAGAAGTCTCCTCGTGGGTGTCGCGGAGGAGCTGCTGTCGGGACGGCCATGGCGCCGGATGGGCAGGCAGGGGCCAGCAGCAGTAGCTCCAACGCAGTGACTCCCGAAGGATTGCGGGGCTGGATCCGAGGGGCCTACCGCTTTGCCACCGACCGCAACGACTTCCGCAGGTGGGAAGAGAGTGTTTGCGGTTACGAGAGGGCGGAGAGGCGCCTGGCAGAGGTCTTTGTACTCCTGCGGGGAAGAGAGAATGCAGTCCTGATAGGGGACCCCCCCCCCGCCCCGGCCTCGCCAGATCCCGTTATTTGCTTTATTTCTAAAACGCTTTGCAAAGGACTCGCGTGACAATGCAGCGACGCAATTCAAGCCAGAGTGGACGTACACTGGTTTTTAAAAGCCGTATGAATTCTAAGGTGCCCCAGGTCGGCAACTTGTCGGATTCCAGATGTTTCAACCTTCATTTTCCATTAGTCGTAGCCAGCGGTGAGGGATCATGGGAGCTCTAGGCCAAAATGTCTGAAGAACCACCACTTGCCCACCCTAGTGCGACTATAAATCCGACTGATTAGAAGGGCTGCTATTGGCTTTAGAACTTAGCATATAATGAGAGCATCACTTTCTTTGTCCCTTATGTCCACGCACGTATTTCAGCCTTAAGCTTTGAGAGGCTTCGGTATTGTCAAGCAACATTTTTAAAGCATTCATTTTATAAATAAAAATGGAAACATTTTCTTGTATCACATTGGTTGTATAACTCTCATGACCTTCCTGTCATTTCCCTTGTCCTCTGCTCGCAGAGCTTTGTCACTGCAGGGAGATGGGTATTCTTCCCCAGACAGCATTCTTTCAACCTGCTTTGCCTTGCAAATTTTGAATTAAATCTGAAGTAGAAAATGAGGCAATCAACTCTGAGAAACTTTGATTTGTGGGAACCCAAAGACAACCTGATTGCTAGACTCTTCTGCCATCTTGTTAACAGAACCCAGCCTATGGAGGCATTTTTGTATTGAAAGGTCACTTTTAATGTGATTACTTACTTAAAACTGCAATCCTGTACTCCCTGGGAAACAAGGGTGTGAAATGGAACATCCTTACAGAGGCCATGGCTGTCTGGATTCCTGAAAACAAGAGCACTCATGATGCAACATTTTGTTGCAGATTCCATTTATAACTGTACAATATGGGGAAAAATGAAATTTACTGTTTTGCTTTTTCCATCACATGAAGCCATTTTGTACAGTTATGCTTTGTAAAGTTTAGTAGCAACATAGGTAGGACAAACACTTCAGTGTTAGCAAGTGTAAAATGATTCACACTGGGGCAAAAGTCCTAATATATTGCTTGATTCTGAACTCTGATAACTGAATAGGAAAGAAATTTTGAGTCCATGGTTGATACTTAGATGGAAATATTAAGCCTTTATACCACTGCTGAAAAAAGTAAATACTATGTGGGCTTCATGAGGAAAGACATTGAAAATAAAATGCTTTATACAAACTTGTGTTCTCACACCTTAAGAAGATATTGCAGAACTAGGGATGTATAAAAATATACATGATAAAAAATTATTAATGAATGTCAATAGGGGAAGTTCCCTCTCAATACTAAAATCTGGGTCACTCAATGAAGTTGGGAGTAATCAACTTTATGAAAACTTTGTTATTGCTGCCCTGAGACACTGTAAAGGGCAGGATATTAAAAAAATAAGTTAGGTAAATGGAAGTACTGCTTTACACATTTGGCACAACTATGCATTTGTTATGATAAATTGTAGTAATTGCAGCCAGTTTGAACCATTTTAGAAGAGAGAATTCATGGAGAATAAGATTGCCAGTGGCCACCAGTCAGGATGGCTTCCAGAATCAGACACAGTAGGTCTTAATAGTAGAGCATGGAGTGGGAACTGGTGGTTTTTGCATGGTTTTCCTGCTTGTGAGCTTCCTATAGGCCCCTGGATGGCCACTGTGGGGATGCAAAGTCTGATCAGATAGGACTTTTGCCAGTGCTTGTAGGGCTACACTGACTTTCTTAATATAAGTGGAAAGCCAGGGGAAGAAACCACTGTGTCCCATTTTTATATGGAGTTTCATAGCCTCGGAGGAAAAGGAACGAGAGTAAAGAAGTTTCCAGGTAATGTGTTTCCTCACAGGTAGCAGAGAGTGCATACAGAGGCTCTTCCTGCACTTCTAGAATATACTTACTATATTAGCACTTCAAGATAGGAAATCCTCTAGAAGGATTCTGTGTAAAATATGGTATCAGCTGCCACTAACCAGTAATTAAACTCAATTTGTATTTGTTTCAGGAACCTTATCGTTAATCTGGGTCTTTTTGCTGTGGGAGTCTGGGTAGCCAGAAACTTAACAGACATCGATTTAATGGCACCACAGCCTGTTCCATAGTAGCAAGGGTGAGTAGGCAAGATTGTGTGAATCAAACATACTGTATATTTTAATATTTCCCCTCATTGCTCTGATTAATAGTTAATTGAAGAAATAAGTAGGACCATGCTTGTTCTGTGGAAACATGATTTCCTAACTATGAATATCTTGGGCAGGTCCTTTGCAAACAGATGTTCCAGTTGTACTACATTTCTTTCAGGAGAAATCTGTCATGTTGTGTTAACCCTTCAATTCAGGACTTTTTCAAAACTAACATAAGTAGGTACTATTGTGACATGGAAAAGAAACTGCCATGGAATTATTTTTTTATGTAAACTCATTTTCTAGTTTCAGATTCATTTTTTCCAGAATGGTACATATGGTCTTCAGTTTGTTTGTTTTTTTTAAAGCACTCCTAAACTCAGGGGCATTTCCACAAAATCAAGAATCATGAAAATTCTGTGTGTATTTAAATCAGATTTAAGGCAAACATTTGAATGTTTCACCTGCCTGTGTATGTCTGAAATGCATTAAGTATTTAAGAGATGTTGAGTTTATGAACATTGTTAGTATTTGAATAACCCCTGCTTTCTGGCTTGATAACCTTTTATGACAGTGTACAGCAGGTAGTAGTGCATCTTCCTTTAAAGGAAGTGGACTTGAAACCTTCGGCTGCAGTTTTTCCACATCCAAAAAATAGGAATATGTACATGCTGATTAATTTCATTTTTAACCTATACAAATACATGTTATTCATGTTGAAAGTCATGATTATGCGATTTTAATATCCGGGCTGAGTACTTGTTCTTTAGATACAGAGGCACTTTTGATTTGCCTTCTATATTTTCAGTAGCTGGAAATTCTAAAGAGGAGTTGTGTTATATAAATTTATTTTTGGGAAGGCTGTACATGTGACTTATTTTTGCAGTAGAGTAGCAGCTGAGTAGCAGCTTTGCTTTAACTTTTGTAAAATTTAATTACAGATGTGAATGAAGTAGATCTGCATGAAGTCTGAACTTTCCACTTGTTATATGACAAAATGAGTTGCAGTTGGTCATCGTGTTGATAATACATGAGATGGAATCTTCCATGCAGCTTCTATTCCACGTAATTAGAGGCATCGGCAGCTGTAGAATTCAAGTATGGAGGATTGGAGATAACACTGAAGCGACATTTTACCTGTACAATTTTTCATTCTATTCCATTCATTTGCTTGGGAGCAATGATTCCAAGTAGTAACATACCTTAGGTTCTATTTTTGCCAGAGGCAGTTATTTAGAATGTTAGAAATTTCTTGTGCTGATGAAATTATCTTCTATACTAAGAGTTTAATTCTGAATTGAAGTGTGAAATAAAGACATACTAATACAATGGACTTTTCTTTTTAATAGGAAATTTCAGCTTACAAAAACAAGGTAAAAAGAGTAGAGATTTACAAAAATCATAAAAACATGATTTATATTTCACACATAAAAGTAGTAACAAGCCCCCCAGTCCTGTGTTTAAGTAGGCCATGTTAATTATTCAAAGGGAAAATACATGTTTAAAGTTCTAGATGAGCCTTAATTGTGGACTGTTTTCAGCCAACATAATGCTTGTCTGGTGCTGTGAATTATGATTGTATATTCCATGTGGAAAAGGAACTGTTTGGTGTTGCATAGCATTTTGGTGCCTTGGTCTGCTCTATGATGCCTCTGAAGTTAACAGGAACCCATTTGCTAGTAGTATATGATTTTTTAAAAAGTAAGTGTTGGAATTCTGTCCCTCTTGCAGAAAAACTCCACTGCTGCTACAATGGGCTTTTAGTCTTTGTTTTTACAATACAATGATGTTCATCATTAGCGCCATCTCTTCTTTAGATGTGGGGATAAAAGATAGTTGAAACAAAAGGAGAAACCACAGTCTAAGTGTTTCAGTTGCTCCTAAGGGGAAATTAGAGCATTAATTCTATGGGTATGACATCTACCCAAATTTTGGAAAGTATAGTCTTAGGCAGATCATAAGATGATGTAGTTAGAGCAGGACTTAGTTTGTTCCTAACTTTGACAGAAAATTCTAACTTCCAACTTTGTGCCACTTTATAATGCAGCTCTTAGGATTTGTAAACTATTAAACCTAGCTCAGTATGTAAAAGATTAGTAACTGTGTGTCAATATCATACATGCAGTTCATTGATGAAATATCAATCATTCATGGGTCTGTCTTCCCTTCATTAACTACCATCTTACAATACACTTTTAAAGCAAAGGCTGTCCTATCTGTTGCAAGTGTGTGGGTGTGTCTATTTGAGCACCACCACACAAGAAGTAGCCAAAAGCAAAAGTAAGGCAACTTTGCCCTGAAGCCCCCTGCAAATAAGTAGTAGACCTACAATCACTTTAAAAGACTGACCCAAAAAGAAAGCTGTAACAGACATCAAAAACTGCACTAAAATGATTGAGCAATGAAAAAATATGGTTGGAGAGCTTTTGCAAGTTAATGAAGATTTCACTGAGACAGGTCTGACTGTTGTAAATTGTTACTTTTTAGAAGGTATCAGTTTAAAGAACAGTTTAACAATAACTGGAAAAGCAGGTGACGAGTTTATCTCTTGTTTTTAGGCTTAGACTTGCATTCTGTATCGTTACAAAAAAAGTTCAACTGATGGCATTGGAATGTACATGTTTCCTTGTTTGTTTAGGTTTACACATGTATGTTTGGTATATCTGAACTTGAGCTAAAAGAGGATTACCTGCATTTAAGATGTATATTAATTATTATTGCCTTTGAAAACTGCACCAAGCAAAAGCGCTCAACTACTGCAATTTTGTCATTCGGTAAGGAAGGGGTAGGCATTCTGGTGCCTTCCAGATGTTTTACACTACAATCCCTTTAACCTCTGGCCATTGGCCAAAAGTAACACCAAGATTGGCTTTTAAGAACCACAAGAAGCCTGTTCTTGTATCTTATTCCATATTGTTAGGAACACCTTTGCTACCAGCAGTTGGCAGGGTAGGGCATTGGGAAGCAAGAGTCTGCCATGTGGAGCACTGACTTAGGAGGAGTGAAACTAGATGTGATTATGAATGTGCAGTGGGAGGCTGCATGCTTGGAGCTGTGTAGTTGCAGAGTTGTACATCTGGCAGTCCATGCTGCTTCTGTTTCCTCACAAGCCTGCCTCTCAGGTTGACAGGTCCTCTCCCTCAACTGTCTGTTAAGAATGAATTCTCAGAGTACTTTACCAGAATTCTATCTTCAACAGCAGAGTTCTTAACAATATTACGAGGCCTTTCCAAAGGGATTTTTCATGCTGCTTTCTAAGTCACAAAACAGTTCTTGTCTTTTTTAATACAGAAGAACTGGCAATACTTAGTGTCAAAATGCCCTGTTCTGTATTCAGTTTTAACGCATTTTCAACCATAAAATTGCCTCACTGGTCTATTGGTGCTTTTAAGGAATACTTTGGAATTCAAAGAGGATAAATGCTACAAGATACACTGCTTGATTCAAGCTTGCTAGATTGTAATCCCATGAATGGTTTTATCTTTAGATAGCTCAGGTTTCTTGTACCTGTTTCTCCTGGTTGCAGAGCCGGGCACCAGGTAATGGAAGGAAGGATGGAAGAACTGGACAAGAGCTGGGTGGGAGAGGCTAGCCTTACTTTTAGAATTTGGCAACCCTGGCTGATTTTTCAGTTGATAGTACTAAAACATTTTACAGCTTTTGTATAAAAATGATTTCTATAAATGAAGTCCCACAATGTGTCACAGTACTTTGCTGCTGCTGGCAAGAATTTCCCTTCCCTAGCTTCAACCTACACTTCATTTGAATAATACAATTCAATCCATACTTTCTATGCAGCAATAGGTTCCATAATCACAGTTCTGTACTCTTAAGTAGTCAGTATTCAATGATGTCCTTCAGAATATGCATACTGAAAGAATGCATACTGAAAGAATGCAACAGTGCCCATGCCTCATCCTAATCAAAGTGCTGTATTTTAGAACATATATTTTAAATTTTTGATACCCTTGGTCTAGTGTCATGAAAATATTCAATAGACTTTAAATTCTGTTAATCACTTATGTAGATCTTTAGCCTCAAGCAACTATGCATATCATGCAATGCATATTTAATATTGCAGGTCTATCTGCATGAAGATATGATTGACTAAAGATGGGGGAAGCAATATTATGATACAAGAGAACTTTTGACTTGCAAGGCACCAGTCAGTAATATAATAGCCTTTTCCAAACTGCTCTGTCAATAGGATGATCCAGGTATTTTTATCTTTCACATAATAGTTATGAAGTACTTGCTTAAGAAAGACTAATCCTAATTTGAAAAAGATTTTACTGACAAAGATTTAACACACAAACCAAAATTATGAACTACTTTTGGGCAAATAATTTGCATTATTAGAAATAGTCTTTAGACAAATACAATAGAATACATCAAGTTGCTGGTAGGAACTTTTTTCCCATTCACATACAGATATGAAATGTAAAAACTCCAATGCTACTAAAGTATTGTAAAGACACAGATTTGGAAGGGAGGAACTGAAAACTTGTGTCCCATGCAAAACATCTTTAGGTACAAGGCACCAATTTTTTATCTTTAAAAAACTGTTCACAAAGCTTTATCAGTAGGCAAAACTAATCCCATCCCCAACTTTCACCCCAGTCATATAAATTACTTTCAGTCAGCAATACTGTTGAAATGCGGCTGCAGCTTGTGTTAGGGATTATTTGCTGACATTCATAACTTGCTTATTTTCTCTCAGACATATGTGGCACACAACATATTAGCATAATGGAACTTTACAATCAGAAAGAGGCCTCTGTATCAAAGAGATAACATGTATGCTTTTAAAAGTCGCTTTTTGAGTCCATGGGACACATTTAATACCAATTTTATTCGTATGTTTTAACTTGTGGGCATATTAAGCTTTCCCTGAAGTGAACAAAAATGCCTACAGTTCAAAAGCAACAGAGAAAGAGAGAGCGAGGGAGGGAGGGAGCACACGCATATGCACAGGTCAACTTTGCAGTTCAATAGAGTAGTGTGCTTGAATATTCCCTTAATCCACTTGATTAGTAGTAATATCCCCATGCCTACAGTAGGCCTCTGATACATAACAATGCCATTACTTTTCCCCCCTTTCCCCACAGATTTGAACAAATTAGATAATGCTGGTTCAAGATGCTGTATATACAAGGAAAAGTGAGTAAATAGGTCTCTGTCTTCCTGTGTCTTTATTCTGACACACAGAGGATGGTTCTCCTCTGCATGATTCCATCTCTGTTTTAAAGACTAGGCTTGCGGAGACTCACAGTAAGACTACTTATTAACACAACATGTAGCTGTTGTTGAAAATAAGGTCATGTGGCATTTTCTCCTGTGCTCAGAAACATTAGGCACACCCATCTAATGACATCATGTGTCTTCCCATGGGTGGGGGAAAGGAAATGCAATATGTAATATAAAACAGTTTGTTTTGCCTAAATGAAATAAGGGGGGGGAACATTTGACCATGTGATGCTATTTCAGCAACTGCACTATGTAGCCCTGTCCTCAGTGAAAGGAAGTGATAACGAAAGTGCTCCAAACTTTGAGAATTAGCTACTACTATGTAGTAGCTGCTTGCACAGATTCTGGGACCTTGAAATACTACGTAAGTCTGATCTACCTTAATACTCATTTCAAAAGCCTGAAGTACCATATTCCACCCAGCTTTATTATTCATGGTTAGTTTTAGCTACAAGCATCAGCTTCTAGATGTAGTCAGCTTACTCCTGTGTGTAAACTCTTTCAACCTGACCCCAAAATGTTTATTCAGAAATAAGCCATACCAAGTTAAACTGGTTTACTTCCTAATCAGCATGTTTAGGATCATTTAGCCCCTAAGATGAATGGAACTATTTCCATGGATGAACAAGTGTGGATGTGCTTTTGCTCATACTTTGCAAGCACATAATGTCTCTTGGAAGTGAAGCACTGCTTTGTGATAAATATTTTCAGGATCAGGGCTGACTAATTAGGCTTCAGTAAACACATGAAAAGAAAGAAGTTGAAAGTGGCTAGGAAAATATGGGAAGACATGTTATCTGATTACTACATTAGGCTTCCATTATAATAGCAAGAGGCAGAGCTATCAAGAGAAGTCAATTATTTCACTTTCTGCCAACCAGGACACTTTAAAACAGTGTACACAGCATAGCAAGAGTACTGCTTGCAGTAGACAGATATAAAAGAAACAGCATAAAAATGCTATACGCTATCGCTTCCAAATAAAAGCTAATTATTAGAGAAACCTCACAGTGTTGGAAAACAGCAAGCTCAGTTCAAAGTATTTCCTTCCCTAACAATTTTCAATTGCACATTTTTCCACATCTCATGGCACTCGGTTATTCACATGAGAGGCTACTACTATCCAAATTTGCTTGGGAAACATCAAGCATTCATGGCTACCAATTGGCCTCACCCCCACAGCCCCACCCCCATTTTGATTTCCTGCTTCTCTCCAGGTATCTGTGTCAGCTCTTTTTAAAAAACAAATGCAATACTCAGTCAGAAGATGAGTATTAATGGTAGGCATGTCAGCTTTTTAACCACCTACTTGTAACTGCCTTTAACAGATGTAGGCAACTCATAGTCATGGCCCAGAGGCCACGACTGCAACTCAGCCTTACTTTATGCAGTCATTTCCAATACCAACAGCTGCCAATCCCACGAGAACAGGAGAGGCAGGCAAGCAGGCGCATGAGCACAGGGGCCTAATCATGGAGTGCAGTAGCTAGAGTAACTGTCCTTTGCAAGATGCTCCAGCAGCCATGTTCTAAAGTCAGATGTCTGAACTTGCACATGTACCTGCCTTCCAGACTTCTTGTTCTCTTCAAAGAAGTGGGATTGCTGCAGGCCAGAAATACCTGATGAAGTAGCTAGCCCTTCACTGGCAACAGGAGAGAGAAGCAAGTGGAGCAGAAAGAATTAAATAGGTGTATATGTGAGTGTCTGAGAGAGAGAGCAAGGAAGAGAAAGAGACAGAGTAGAAGTGGTGGTCTAAATTTACAATCAATACCACTGCACTCCCTCTAAGATTCCTGAAGAGTATCTTAATGTCTGCTAACCTCCATGCCTTGTCACCCCCACCCACAAAAGGATTACCTCCAATGGAATGTGGCCTCAATGAAAAAAGTTGTCCATTCCTGTTTTATCAGTTTGATATGCAGTCAACAGCACCTGATAGTATCTCATGCTGTGTAAAGCTTCAAAGACTGATTTCTGCACATCAAATTGGTCTCAATAAAAGGCTGGATTTTCTCCCTAGTCAAGTGTTAAACTACTAGTGAAAAAATCTCCTGTTATTTGTAGGGGTTAAGCTTATCTTAAATTGGTTAACTGCACTGTTTGTCAGACAGCAGCTACAACTGTTGGGCTTTATATGATGCATGCTTCTAGAGTGAAAGTCTTACAGAGTGTTAGGTAGGCTGACCTGGTACCTCCAATACTTGGAAGCTACATGTGACTGTGCCACTCCCTACCAGACCAAACTAGAGACCCAGGGTGTGTAGCACAGTCCAAGCCCACAGCTATATGCAAAAACCACATATTAACTTTTCTCCACTAATTTCCAGTTAGGGCTCAAAGTATGAAAAGCATGAAGGGGCAAGCCCTTAGCCCATTATTACTTTAATTATTTTGTCATTCAGTTTTATCAGGCAGTTATTAATGGACTTAGAAAGATGGGCTTGCAGTACACATGGCTTGTGGGAGGCAAGCACAAAAGCAGTCTTCCCCTCCCCAGATTTTCCAATGTACATTGAAAGCTGATTTTGGGAATGGCAGTGCATATTTCTGACCAACTAGCTATAGAAAGAAGTCAGGATCTTTGGGACTTTGTGTAAAGTCCTGTGCTTTTCTCTGAAAGTGTATAGTGAAGTACACTTGATTTGCTCTGATAGAGGAACCCAGTGGCAGTTACACACGGTCATCTGATTATTACAATTACAATAGTAGATCTATACTCTTTTACGAGACTCAACTTCTATATTAACTGGGTCAAATAGCACTGGCCTTACAATAAGACTGCAGTTACTTCTTCCAAGTTTTAACTATGAGCAATTAAGCATTTGCTTTCTTGATAGGGCAGTGGCAATCCACCCCCACAAGCTTAGCTACAAACCTAACAAAATCATATCTATTTCATCTGCTTTACCTTCATTATGTGAACAAAGTAGAAGCTTTATGGTATCAATCAGTATTTCCTAGTTCAAAAGCAGCAGGTGGTTCAGTCACCCTGAACCTATGCATTTGAGTATGCCCTTTCCACAGAGCTGCAACAGTGGTAATCACAAAAAGTCAATGACAGTCCTAATCAATGAGTCCATGTGGACATATTATTGATATTTAAAATTGTGCTGAATGGACAGTATGTGTATGTTAAAGTAATCACACACAATGTTGCAGTCTGAAGCTAGATTTCTGCACTAATGTGCAAACTATGTCTCTAAGGCTCTAAGAACTGGAGGTGAGAGAAGGGAAGGAAATGAATACTTCCCTGCTGTATTTTAGGTAGAAAATGCTGCCTTTCAAATATGATTCTAAACACCCACTGCAAGGGAAATTGACTGGAAAGGTAGTTATGAAATTCAATATATTGTTGGCTAGGGCCCATTCCTTATCTGTTTGATGGCTATTGCATCCCTGAATGTTCTTTGCACACTAGAAGTTGTTATGCACTTAGGAAAAGATATGTTTTGATAGAAGATAAAAAGAAAATGAGTCATCATTAATACAGGAAACCTAACTCACCATGGAGAAACTGGGTGGATTCACATGGCCAATTCATGCCTTGATCATCATGTGATAGCCACTGCATAACAGAAGCTTTGAAAGCCATGGCTATCCCATAACAATAGTCTTTAGAGAAGAAAATGTAGACTTTATTAACAGATGTGTAAAAAAAGAAATGGTAAAGAAAAACAGTTCCTGTAATTTTTAGCAGAGACTCAAACTGAAGTGTGTCATTCTGCTTTCTAGATCATTTCAGCATTTGTTCACTCCAACAGAATGGACTGATTGCCGGGGGAAAAAGACAACGTGTCTCTTACAGCAAAAAACAAACAAGGCTTATGAGCACATTATTTTCAGTACAGTACAACTCCACTTACCCAAATTACATTGGTTTAGAAAGATGGCATATTATGATTAAGTTATTTACACCAAGAGGTGCAACAACTGTTCACCATATCAAGCGAGCAAAGATTAAATGGGATTTTACTGTACGTAGTTGTTCCTTTTCTACAAAAATGTATATATTGTTAGTTTGATGGCTTTGTATCCTGCTTGTACACCTACATTAGGATGCACTTACTTTTCCATGCCACATTAGATTTCTCTTTGAAAGAAGATAAATGGTCCTAGACATTGGAGGCTGTTACTCTTTGTTTTGTTTAGAGGAGGAAAGGGTTTACAAATACATGTCTTTAAAAAAAATAGATGTTCTGCTACAATCTCATAGAACAGAGTTGCACATAATAGGATGCCCACTTTTCCAGACTGTGGATCCAATTAATTCCTGCAGCAGTATTTGTTCCTGCCAAGATGAGTGAACTCCAAAGGCTTTTTAAAAAGATGAGCCAGTTGATTGAAATAGTAATGCTTCCTTTCAGGGGAGTGTCAGTCTTCTATCTTTATCATTGTGTTTGGACAGCACCTGAGCTTGAAGTTGTGTTTCTGAGATACTTGCTTTGCCCTGCACAGTTCTTTGAGTATAAAAAAGAATGTAGGCCTGGGTTTTGCATACCTCCTCCACACTACATACATTCAGTTTGGAATCATTGCAGTGGACCCAAAACCCTAAAAAGGGAAAAAGATAATAGTATATTAATGGCAGAACCTTATCCTGCAGTACATAATTCTGGACTGCTCTATACAGAGGAGCCTAGACTTTTGCAGCAATTCTAAATGGAACCCAGGATCCAAAGAAGCATATAATCAGTTCCCTGTGCCCAAGAGCTATATGGGATTGCTGTTCAAAGCAAGCTACTTTTGAATGTGAGGAGTCTCTAAAAATGTTTGTAGCATGTTGTAGTTCTGCTATACAAATAGATAAAATCCAGAACCCCAAAAGGTAAGTCCAAACTTCTGGCCATGCCTGTTAAAGGCTCTCTGGATCACATGCAGGGAACATTATAATGTGCAAACTTCCCCATGTTACAGAAATATTCCAGATAATATTCAAGAACAGGTGTTTATAATTCTGGTTTCCTTCAGATGACTGGGGAAATACTGTACTAACATTTCTATGGAAGGCAGATCCAAGGTGGTATTCTATATACAGAAGAAGGCATATTCATTATTTATATTGGATTTCTGATAACACATTATTTTACAGCTTGAGAAGCAAGGATGTCAATTAAATGAGCAAGCAGAACATTTAAAATCACTATGGAAATTAGAAAAAAAGAGACTGACCCTTTCATTAAAAAGTAAGCAAGCAATAAAGTCAATTCTGAAGGGTTACAAATAAAAGGAAAAGCAGTTCCTATTACTAATTGCTACTAGCAGATATACTACATGCAGTACACAATGGAAACTAAACTACACAATCACAAGAAACCAGTACAATTCTATAAAAGTGAAAAATGTGCAAGATGCAGTAAACTCAAATTTCCCCCTTGTAATAAGGCACACGCACCTCCCTCTGTGTTGTAGCAATATGCCGTGTAATGTCCTGAGCCAAACCCTTTCCCGTGATGCATCACCACAGCCGATAGGTCATAGACAAAGGTCTCTTTGTCAAGAGAGGAGAGAGTGTCCCTGCAGCAGTAAGGTTCCATGTTTAATACCTGGTCAAAGAGGACATGGACCCCAATCTTCTCACGGTGATTACGTCCAGACCACCTGCAACACAAAGAGATGAATACATCTATTACATGTTTTAACATTCTTGATGCTGACAGTTAATGAATATTTCAAATTCATTCAGTAGTACAATGAGTTTTCCAAAATATATTCCTACCACAGTAAGTTCAAACAATATATTTTGAAAATAATTCACTTCTATTTTAAAATTTATTTATGTTCTTCTGAAACTAATTATGAACAAGCAGTTATTTGATAGGAATAATTATTCTAGGCCCCTGTATATTAGCAATGTTCTAGGAAATTGTCAAAATAAGAATTTTGACAATTAAAAATAAAACTATTTCTAAGTAGAAAAGGGATTTGTTCCATGAGTGCATGGTGGGGGGGGGTGCTTTCTCCTTCTTTCAGAAACCTAAAATGGGTAAAGAAGACATAAGTTGTTCCAGTAAGAACATCCATAAGAGGGAAAAATGGTTTTCTATTAATAGGTCTATACAGTGGAGTCTAATCAAATAAACTTGTTTTAAGAGGCTTTTCAGGATCTGCAAAGAGATAGAGACAACCCAGCAAAAAGCACTCTGTGAAAAAGCAACCTAGGCAAATCCAGAATTGAGAGCCCCTTTACCATAAATTTCATAGAAGATGTATCACACTGATAAGGAGTCTTCCTTAATCAGGTTGCAGTCCTTTACAACCCATTCCAATCTGTTCTGAGGTACCTATAAATAGGTAATAATATAAAACATTTCTGGATAATTATTATCTCTTGGGGAAAGTCATTAGTTTCCTCATTTTGTAGGTGGTTACAATTTCACCTGTTTAACAGACACCTGCATCATGTACCGTATTTTTTGCTCTGTAAGACGCACTTCCCCCCCCCCCCAAAAGTAAGGGGAAATGTCTGTGCATCTTATAGAGCGAATACGTGTGTGCAGTAAGTCTGTCAGATGTGCAGTCCATGGGGAAGTAATGGGGAATGTGCCTGTGATAATGTGCCCATTTGATTCGGAATATTTTTTTTCTTGTTTTCCTCTTCTAAAATCTAGGTGCGTCTTATGGTCAGGTGCGTCTTATAGAGCGAAAAATACGGTATGTTAGAAGCAGCTGTACAGTTACAAATATGCAAGCCTGCAAGGTGCTTTTAACAGAACATGTTGTGGCTTCAAACTCACAAACAGCAGCAACTGTGTAGTTACTATATTCCAGTGATGGGTATTTGGATGTACTCCACTGGCACTCCTAATCCAATGGCTGAGTCAATTCCTGCCACATCCACACCCTTTCAAGATATCAGCAGACTTGAATGCCAACTTTGAAATAGCGATCTCTTCATTGCCCTGCAGGATCAGTACTATTTGGAAGAATTTCAGCTTATAATAGGTTGAACCCATTTACAGTGTCAGAAGAAGAATCAGTAGGATTTACTAGTGCAGCACTTGGATTAATGCAGGGATGTGCATGCAGAGAGGCAAATACCCATTACAAAGAACTAATACCATGGAATATGATAATATTTTGTTATAACTGTTCAACTATGAACACACAAGCCTCCTACTATATCAACTTTTTTTTTTACAAGTAGCTGCTTCATTTGTGCTCTGCAGTAATCCCAACAGAGAATCAAAGGAGAACAGGAATTTTAGGAAACATTCTAGTTCTTTTAAAAAAGAATATGGCTTGTATTTGGCATTTAATACACCGTTCAGTAATAATATCAAGTTATTATCCACATTTCTATTTCAAAGATGATCCCTCATTCTCCCACCTCCAATTCACCTGAATCGTTTAAGGTGCAGCCGAAGGACCTGAGGTAGTCTGTAGATCATTAACTGTTTTTTAGCTTCACTTAGAATAAGAGGTTTGGGAGAAGACTTCCGTCGTTTACCTACATAATGTTTAAGAAAGGCACAAAGAGAGTGAGTTGCATGTTTCTATTTTCCAGAGGGAAAATTGCACACACTTCTTTCCACAGTTACCAGCAATCATCATCCAAGCAATAAAGCTGGGCAGTGTGAACACTAAAAGAATTTCGGCTTAGATTGCCATCAGCTATGCTTAGTGCATGGAGTTAGAACTGCATATGTTTAATAGGATATGAAATCAACTTTCTTTTTATACGGGATTTTTTAGCTTTTAGGTTCATACTTCTTATAATAAAATGACTTTCCAGCATAATGGTAAGCAGGTTACCTTAGAAACACATCCCAGCAAGTTCAATTAGACTTAGTGTATTACTTCCTAGCAAATAGGAACACTAATACATGAAGACATAAGAGGCTGATATTTGATTACTACATGCATATACTGCTGATCATATTTAAAAACCTCTAAGCAGCACAATTGTGCAATGCTATATATGTCTATTCAGTTGCAAGTTACAGAGCTCAGTGTACTCCTAGGTAAGTGAATACTGATGTCTGGTAGAACCACAAGATAATTTTAGAAAGCATATTTTTGTAAGGTAAACTACTGACCTACGTGAACAAATATGACATAGCAGTACAATAGTCCCTGGAAAGATTAGAGAGATATTAAAGCTCAGAAACCGATCTCTGCATTGATATTTCATGGGAATTCAAAGCTTTTAAGAATACTGGCACATACATAGGCTTTGCATATTTGCAGTATATTTTACATCCTGAACAGTAAATATACTTTTCAAACTGTAATACACTTATAATTCTTCTTTGTTCTTTAGGAAACAAAGAAAAGCCTGAATTGCTTAAAAAGAAGCATTAAAATCAATTATTATTTGCAATTCTCCTCAGTTTTGTTTGAAAGAGAATGATTGTGTGCCCCCACTATATCAAATTCAATTTTATACTGTTATGGTAACATTTTGTCAACATGAAGCACCAATTCAAGCAACAAAACAAGCCATCCTGCAAAATAAGCCATGGTTGTTCAAGGAACAACCAATGGTGCACCTGACAATCAAGCTCACTATGCATTTGCTCCCCCTCCTCCCGCCCCCTCCTCCAGCCTATCACCATGACCTTCCAGGTGGAACCTATCTTAGCTTCCTTCCAGTTCCTATCACTAATTATTTGCATTTGCTGACAATGTTAAAAAAATCAGGAATTCAAAAATGTACATTAAAGGCTGGGTTGTTTTATTGTTTTGGTTTTTTGAGCCCAGAAATGTGCACAAGTATCTCAAGTATCTTCTCACACATGCCTGTAAATGTGTGCATACATATATACATGTATATATTTGTATGTAATTGGGATTTTGGAGGTGTGCAAGTATGCACCCACAATTGTCTGATATAGTCTTGCTTGGGTGATGTCCTTGCAAATTTATGCTGACAAAGAGAGGGAAGTGCAGTAGGTAATATAGATGAAAATTAATGAGGCAGAATTATATATAGGTCAATAAGCGAATGGGTGGTGAGCTACTTGAAAATCATGGATAAAGGGGGAAAAAGCAGAAGAGGGTGGGAACAAACTCTAACCTATAGTAATGCAATCCTCTGGATTTTAAGTGTTGAACTGACATTTCTCAGTGACCTCCACATATTTGACACTTCCCCTGGACTGAAGCTGTCAAGAAAAAAACGAATGTGCAGGTGGTCTTTGCTTGCAAGAAAAGGTGGTGGAATTCATATTTGCTTCAACTTTTTTTTTACACTAGACTTGCTTAAGGATGACCTCACTTTTCCCGTTATTCCCATGTAAATACGTGCTTCATTTTGACAAAAAATTAGCATAATAGTATAAAACTGAATTGGATTTGTTGGGGAAAAACACACACACTACAAACTCAGGAACATGAAAAATTACAAACCACACTTTTTTAAAACAATCAGTTTTGATATCTAAGTCCTCAGAAACCAAGAAAGCCCTTTAAAAGGGAACCAGATCCTTACAAAGGAGATGGATAACACTTTTTCTATGTTCCAAAGCACCCAGATCCTCAGAAACAACTGGAAAAGTGAGGTCACTCTTAGGACAATCTAAGGGAAAAAAGAGGATCTTGCTGTGAAGGGGTCTAAATCCCACCACCCCCTTTTATAAGCAAAGATAACCCACAACTTTGCTTTCCTTCCATAGCTTTTCTTATGGCAACTGTCAAAAGAAACCAAAGGGAATAAAAGGTAACCCTCAAGATATTGATCCAGTATGACTTCCAATTACCACATTATCAAAGTGCACACCTCCAAAGTTGCACAAATGCAACATTTTAAAATTGTCTTCCAGTCACCAACAGCCCATCCAATGTGCTGCTTAAGCATGTTGAAGGCTCTGTCAATGGCTATCCAAGCAAGCACTGCAAAAGCAGGTTGTCATTTTCAGGGGTGAAAAGACCAGTGCCAAGTGCTGTGGCAGGTACCTGGGCAAGCTTAGCAACAATGCCAAGGGTTTTTACAATTCTTCCCAAGTGAGTTGCTGGCTGGTTCCAAATTACCATAATGAACTCAGCTGCCCAGGTTTGGATGGCACAACAACCCATCATGGATACAAGACCCCACAGAATAAGCTAAGGACTGCTGAAATCAGTCTGGGTTCATCCAACACAACAACCACACCATAGCTTATCACCCATGATGGATTCTCTTGTTGATCAAATGAATATCTGTGAGTTGAACAACCCCCAAAACAAGCCATGAGTTATCAGAGTTGTTCCAAAATAAGCCACTCTGAAAGAAGCAGTGCAAATTTGGACTCAGTGACTAGTTAACCATGATAGATTGCCATCTTGTGCAAATACATTGACTGATTTCTTAAGAGAGCAAACAAATGTTTAAGTCTTACAGTAAAACAGGAGACATTCAATATAATTCTGTTCATGTTTACGCAGAAGTTAAGTCTCACCAAGTTCAGTAGGTCTTACTCCAAGATGTTAAAGTGTTTAACATTCCACTTGTATTCTATTTATGAGATTCATGTTTCACAAAGGAATGTTTCAACATTTTGGGTTGTGTCCAATGTTAAGCCTACTTAGAAGGGACCCATTGAAATGAATGGGACTTAAGTTAGACTAAGACTGAACACAACCCATTGGATACAACCCTTTGCATGTAGTTTACACAGAAACAATCATTCACTCAATTTATTTGGAACCTGCTTTTCCCTGCAAAAGAAAGCATATAACATGATTTGAAAATAAATATTTAAAGGTCAGTTTCAAAAAATGCAGTGACCCTATAAACAAACTTACCATTCAATAAAGAAAATACCAATTAATACAAATTTGATGATCAACAACCAAAAAGGGAATAATAAAATACAAGATTTACTTTGTCAAGAATACACTTACATCCTCATTCCAAGATGTCTGTATTCAGTCAGGTGAACATAATGATAATGCAAGTACTTAAGTGAGAATAGTATCCAAACACATTTCATATTAATAAAATAGCATATGAAAGGACAAAATAAAGCCTTTGGAAGGTTACTACCCAAATTAAACTCAACAATTTTTGATGCAAGTTCCACTAAAGGTGTTTAAGAAATATATTAGATGATGATTGTACACAGTGATAGTATTATTAAGCAGAATTTACAAGTATGCAGAAATACTATGAATGTAAACTGGGTAAAATACAGTTTCTAAGCACCATCAATAAGGAGATGCATCTCAAGCATAAGCCATGATGCTCTATGGCTTAATGGAAATAAGGGCCATTCTCTCTAAAGTATTTTTTGCTTATTTCTGCAATTAATTTAGCTTCTGTGCTACTGGAATTTTAGATCTGAACTATGGAACTAAGTGAATAAGCCTTGGGTGAGTGCCCTCCCTATTTTCCCTGCCCCCAATTTCCCTTCTCACTTCTGATTTAACGGAAACCATTGCTTGCATCTAAACTAGCAAATGGTGGTTTGCTGTCCTAGTTGAAAGAGTTTATCGAAGCTGTAGTTTGACAATTCAGAATAACTGCAAACCATAACTGAATCAAGCCTAGACATTCCATTAAGGTTAGTGAGTAATGGGATGAGGGAGCATTCTAGAACAAGGCTTGTTTCTAATCCTTCAAATGATAGTTTGGAGGAGTGTAAATGTTACACCTGAACCAGCCTAGTCTTTAAGACACCATATGACTGTTCCATTTGTTTATTTTTATCTTAAGAATGTATATTTATATGCTTGAAGTATTTCTCACAGCTGCCCACCTTACTTCAAAGCTGATCTTTAAACATGGTGAGAATATTAACAGAAGACTTATTTGAAAATAAACTGGCAGTAAGAAGATGTACTTGGAGTATGCAGATTTTTCCCCTTTGTACAAACTACTACGCCTCTTGCAATTTATCTCTGCATGAAACTTTTGTGTGTGTGTGTGTGTGTGTGTGTGTGTGTGTGAACTGAAGTCACAAGATGTGGGGGATAATATATAGTCTTTAGGCCAAGCACACTTTGCCAGATTCTGCATCTGTTACCAGTCTTTTTTGGTGGGTTTGTGATATTGATTCAAAAAGGTCATGTAGATTCAAACTGAATCCAATGAGGTACAGAGACAGAAATTTTGGAATACGATTTGAGATCCTTAATAAGAATTCTTTTATTGCCTATGGAGTGGGATACAAACCTCTACCATTGCTTTTTGTATCAAAGTAGATTCAGGTATAGATGTTAAATCATTAAATATAGTGGGAATTCAAGAGAAAGTATTCCTTCCCCCTGGTATTGCAGTGGGGAAGGCAGAACAAGGAAAGAGTGTGCTCTGTGGGAACCAAAAGGGCAACTTTCTACTGAGCATGTGAATTTGCACTTGGATTCTAAACATTTGCCTGCTCCTATTGTAGTGACAAAGCTAGGATAAAACGTCAAGTGCAGAAAACCGATGGTAGTTATGTTGATGTGAATCTGGGATCTCATTTGTAACCATGAAGGCAGAAAGTTCCTTGCCTTCATGGTTACAAAGAAACAAAGTACACATGAACAGCCTTTTGCCAAGTGAATACTACAGTGGAGAGGGACAGGGCTACTTGTAGGGGAAAATGTTCCTTAAGGTGCAATCCTGTGCATGTTCAGTGAAAGAAAATGTTGCATGACATCCAACATTCCCTAGCCAGCATAGCATAACTGGCTAGAGAATGCTATGGACTGAAGGACTTTTTTCCATCTGAACATGTAAGAATGCACTCTTAGTGTCTTAAATGTTCTCCTAATTTCTATTAGGTTCTGTTAACAAAAGAGGGAAAAACTGATTCCGCAAAACTAAAAGATCACAAGTGACTTTGAATTGGTAACTGTCCCAACACCATCTGTCTTGGATATAGGAAGAGGAGTGGAAAGGCTCTTTCAGTAAGCACAGTAAGTTAATTTTATGGGAAATTGTTTATAGAAGTCAACTATTTCAGTTGTTATTTTCTTTTTTCTAGTTAAGAGAATTAAAACAATTCTAGGTGTTTATGAGCAGTTAACATCATAGCATGATCAACTGCAACATTTCTAAAGATGCTTGAATCACTATAGGAGCCATTCCTAGACCAATCATTGCTTTCCTCCAATATGCCTTAGTTTCTATTTAGTTTCAGAAAGTAAGAGATCCTTAAAGGACAGGTTCTCCCCCTAAAAAGAAGTCAGTTCCTGTCAAAAATTCCTGCTATTCCAGTGTCTTTAATCCAGGGATGCACAGAAGATTTAGATCTTCAGATATTTTGGACTTTAACTTTTCCTCCCTTCACCACAGTCGCATTTTCTATTCTTTTCCTCCCTTTTCTTTTCTCTTAGTTTATGATATTTATGTTTTCTATTTTGCTGTTTTATATTGTTTTAATTACTGTGGTTTAATATTGTAATTTTACATTGTGTAAGCCATCCTGAGCACTTGTCGGAAGGACGGGATATAAATGTTTGTAATAAACAAACAAACAAACAAACTCTCTGAAGGCCCTGCCAGCCTGGAATGCTGGGCACTGAAGTCCAAAACATCTGAAGTTCTACTTTTGCCCACATCTGTTCTGATCCACCTAGTTAGTATGACCTCTCTGTCTCAGGAAACTACCTAAAATTCTTATTTTACTTGTTTTGCGGGAGGTGTCCAGGAAGAAACTGCTGCATTCATTTTTAGAGTAGGGAAATAAAAATTTGTGTGAGGAAGTCAAAGAGGCTAAAACTCTTCTAGATGCAATACATTTTTAACTATGAGATTCACAGACTATGCCATTTAAAGCCCTATACAACTTTGGACCTTGCTATCTAAGGAACCATTTATCTCATTACAAACTTGGCCAGCTATTAATACTTGTGAGGGAAGCCTTTCTGAGGGGATTGTTACCAACAGAGGCCTGTTTGTTGAAAACACAGACGAGGGCTTTCTCCTGCATTACTCCCAAAATGGACAATGTATGCTCTCAAGAATTTTGACTGGCTCCCATTCTCTTAGCTTTCAGATGAGGTGTGAAGACACACCTCTTTCATGTTAGCCTCTTAAACTACATTTTGATATTTTTAGTGGCCTGTGTTTTATAATTTGATTCATTTCAATAATTGTGTAGCACCTTGATGGCTTTTTAGCAAAATAAAGGTGGTATATAAACGATAATAAGCAAAATAGTATAACCACAAATGCTATTATAAAAACTTTATATGTAGCATCTTCTTAATGGTTGCAAGGAGACTCAAAAATCATGAATGGAGTACCTGCATGTTTATACAGCATGCATATATATATATATATATATATATATATATATGTACACTCCTTACCAGATACAATGAAAAATTACATCTAAAATGACAGAATGGTCCTTCACTTACTGTTGCACTGGTCGCACGCATAAATCCTCCCTTCCAAAGCTTCTGTTTCTGTGAATTTGGCCAACATTTCAGTCAGCATGCACTCTGTCTGATTCACAGGCATAATCCCTTTGTTGATGGAGTGATAACGTTCAGGAAATTCCAAGGAAAGATCCCAGAAAGGTTCCACAGTATTGGATTTATAGTTACATGTTATACAGGTTACCTAGCAATAAAAGGTTTATTTATTAGGACATTTATATAAATATGTTCTTATGAGACATTGTGAGGTCAGTGCACAGGTTTTATCAGTCAGGATGGCATAGCTTGGTCTGTGCTCTGGCTGAACCAAGTCTGTAACCATCTGTAAGACAGGACTATACATTGAATTTCTTTAAAAAGGGGGGGGGGGGGGAATGCACTTTCAAAAGAATTTCTATCATGTGATTTTCCTTCCTTGTATACTCTCTGGTAGGGATGCATGACACCGGGAATTCCATTCCACTCAGCCCAATGGGTTTCCACAGTGTTTCCATGCCAGTAAACACTAGTGGGAAAATGTAGTAGAGTTTTTTCCATTTTTTTTCCCAAAAAGATCTTGCACAATTTTTTCTGGGTCCTGCCATTTGTGCATAAGTGGGATTTTTTTTAAATATCTTGACACTTATACAAATGGGGTTGTATTTGTTTTTAAAGTTTCATCCAGTCTTTCACAAGTGTACATGAGAACAGATTCAGTGGTTCAATATCTGTAGATCTGCCATGTCACTTTCATTGTATATTTCAGTTCTCAATGGGGACACCAAATTGTAGTAGGTAATATATAGAAATATTAACAGAGAAAGAACTCATGTGGAGTAATTTGTGCACAGTTGCAAATGAAAAACCAATATTAAAACAAAAGAGGAATCCATTTAGGCAAATACCAAAACAAGAAAAAATGTAGTAAGTGCATCAAACAGGAATGTGGGGAAGACACTGTATCTCCCACTTCATAGCATAAGTCTCTTGCCATTAAGAACTGACACTTGTTAGCGTTCTTGCCTCCCCCTTATTTTCATGGCCCTTTCTCAGAATAATTACTGCTGTACTGCAAATATCCCCTCCATTTACTTCTCAGCCTCTAAATTTGCACAAATTTAGGAGTTAGGAAATAAAGATGGAAAATTTTCAAAACAGCATTTTCTGCTACCAGAAGGAGCTGCAAAAAGAGGGGAGCCAATAATTCCCCCTTTTTTGACTTGCTGGAGTTTCAGGGAAGTGTTGAAATGAAGAGCACTGATAAGTGTTAGTTCAATGGTTAATGGCAAGAAGACATTGTCAAGTGACAGTTACCATACACCACCCTTTCTTTGGTGCACTGACTTCATTTACAATTTTTATTTCTAAATTGTGCAAATGTATTCCTCCTTTATCTCATTATTGTATTTTCCCCTGGTTCTCCCTGGTTGCAACTGTGCACAAACTTCCCTATATGCAGTTTCACATCTTGTCAATTGCCTTGCATGTTTTAATAACTACTTCATTTTGGCACTCAGTTTGGCAAGTGAAACACAGAAGGTATTGACAAGACAAACCATATCTTGTCAGACAAACCAGATTCAGACAGCTGAATCTGTGCTCTTGCACACTTGAGAAAGCCTCAGGGAATTCATTTTTTTAAACAACCCCATTTGTGCAAAAGAAAAAAATGCTACTAAAAATCAGAAGCTATGTATTAGATTAACTTGCCACCAATCTAATCAAAGCTAGCAGGGGGAATGCAGAATGAAATTTGACAGGGCCAAGCCAGTAAAATCCAAATTCAAACAGAATTCTCATACCACCTTATTCTTTAATGTAAGAAAGGATTTAATCCTGCTGAAACCTGTGGCAAGTATGTATTCAGCCTTTTAAAGATTAAATCCTTAATTGATACGACTTTTTCAAATGCAAATTTTCACTATAATATTGTAAGTTAAAGTCCCTGCAATTCAACCCACTTGATTTACTAAGAAATTATGCTTGAACTTCCTTCAATCACTATCAATGAGTCAGAGAGTCTATTCAAGTGCTTATTATATAGTGCCAACATGGCTGTTCAGTTTTTTGTGGGGGTTTTTTCAGTCAACTGCCCCTCAAACAAAAATTATGTCATTCAGTATGCAACACCAAATTTATAAAAATAAAGGGTGCATTGCAGCATAACTCCAATTTATATACAATATCAAACTATGGTTTAATATATTTGAAAGTCTTAGGCTGGTGCACCCCTACCTCTCCAATTCCCTCCCTGACCTCCAGTGTTAAGGAAACCATAGTTTGCCAAACTGGAAACATCATACACCAGAAAGTAAGGGAGGACACCAGAGCTCTGATACTGTGCAGCTTGCAAACCAGATCACTCATGTAATTCCAGATCACCACAATTTGGCAGTATACAAGAATCAGCCCATGCTGTTTCTTTTGGATGGTTTCACTACTGGGATTATTTCAAATAAGAACCACAGAATTATAGTTTGCAAAAAAGACAATCCTTTATGCAGGGAACCTCTTCAAAATCCTGCTACATTCTGTCAAAAGATTCTTGTAATAAAATAATTTGTACCAACCATATGGAAGAGTCATAACCAGAAAGTAAGTCATAACTGTGGTCTTTTGAGTAGTCATCTGTGCATACACACACATGGGCTCTGTGCCAGAGCAGGGCCTGTTGTCAGGAAGATTTCCAGGCTAGACTCATTCAGTGGAGCCCTCCCTTCCTGCCCCCTGGTATATATAGGAGAGGTTCCTGCCCTTTTCCAGGTTCCTTCGAGACCAACATTATGGACTCAGAACCAAAAGATAATGAAGAAGGGAGGCTGTTGAACAGCTGACCCATACTGAATAGGTACGGGACCATCGGAAAGACATGGTACCAAAACTGGCTGGCTTTGGTTGGCAGGTGGGGTTGGTGGGTAGGCTGTGCGAATGCACAGATGACCACCCAAAGAACAACAGTTACAAGCAAGCAACCATCTTTCTTCTTTTTGATTTCTGTGCATCACACATATGGGTGACTAGCAAGCTTACCTTGAATCGAAAACGAGCAGGTGATAGAACTGCTCTGCCAAAGGAGTGGTCTTGTCTGGCATGAATATAATGTTGGTAGTGCCAAACAAAGGTTGACAGGGCAAACCATGTTCCTGCTTTACAGAGTTCCTGCAGAAGGATGCCCACATGAAGTTCTGTAAAGGTATCACTCTGGTTGAGTGTGTTCTGGGCCACTCGGGGAGCTGCAGTCTTGCAGGTTGAAATGCAAAGCACAATGGTCTCAACCAGCCAGCGTGTGAGTTGTTGAGACCTAACCATCTTGCCCTTGGACTTTTCTTCATAACATACAAACAGTCTTTGATGCTGGCAAAATGACTCTGTACAAGACTGACAGAATGCCAAAACCCTTAAAATGTCTGAGGTTTGCACGGTGGATTCTATTGCATTCGGTGGTGTTGGGAAGAAGGCCATCTGAATGTCCTAGTTCAGGTGAAATGGTGACTCAGCTTTAGGGAAGAAAGAAGAGTCTGAGCACAGGACTACCTTGTTCTTTTGAAAAGGAATGGCTGATCGATGTGTAGGGCCCATAACTCGCCAGCCCATCTGGATGACCTGATGGCTACAAGAAAGGCTACTTTCCATGACAAAAGTCTCAAGGAACATGGTGGCCAGTGGCTCAAAAGGCATTCATAAGCAAATCCACTGATAGGCTCCAGCTGGGAACAAACAACCAGAGCTGTGGAAAGTCACTGCCAATAATACCTTAATGGAGAACTGCTTAAGTTCTTTACTGTAAAAATTGTGAAGAAAGCCGAGGATTTGGTGGATGGATGCTCAGTGTGAACTGAAGGCTTCCTGCTAGGCAAAGGCAGGCAAGAAGTTCCACTTAGCTGCATATGAGTGCTGTGTGGCCAGTTGCAGGGCATCATCCAGGATTGCCTGTATGTTGGGATGGAGGGTGGCTTCCCAGTCTACTGAGTGATCCTCCATACTGTGAGGCAGAGGGTGTTGACATCTGGATGCAGGATCATGTCTTGGCCCAGTGATGATGTCCAGTCTCAATGGGAATCAGAGAAGAGTCCCAATGGACAGGTGAAGGAAATGTGTCAACAACACCTGCTGGGGCCATGATGGGGTAATAAGAATACATGAGGTTTGCCAACATCTTTGCCAACATCCTGGTAATAAGCTGGAATGGTGGGAATAGATAAAACAGTGTCCCCTTCCATTGGAGGAAGAATGTGTTTCCCATTGAGCCTGAACCAATCCTGGCCCAGGCACACACCGCATTGTTCACAGTGATGAAAAGATTGATTGAAGGCCTGCCCCAGACCTGGAAGAGATCCTTAAGAGCAATGGGATGGGGCCCAACTCCCATTCATGGACCCCTTTAGTCCACCTGCTTGATGAGTCCACTGTGACACTGACTATCCCAGCCAGGTAAATAGCAATGAGGGTAATACCCCTCTGAATACATCAGTTCCAGATATGGATGATAAGGCACCTCAGCATGGTGAAGTGGGTGCCTCCCTGTTAGTTTAGGTAGAATACCATAGTGTTTTGCAGAGATTTTACATAGTTAAGGCAGAGACCAAAAAGTCTAGGAAGTCACAAGTAAGATGAATAAAATCCAGAAGCTCATCTTGGGATGAGGCAACCAGCAGCCAGTTATCCAAGTAGGGGAAAACCTAGGCCCCTTGCAACCCAAGATGAGCAAGATGACAGGCATGTGATTGGTGAAGAGCCAAGGGACAGTGCATAAGCCTAACAGGAGTACTAAAAATTGATACGCAACCAAACTGATTTGGAATCGATGGAAATGCTACTAAGCCTGGTAAATTGTGACATGAAAATCAGTTTAAGTCTATCAAGGCAAACCAGTTCTCTTGGCACAGTAATGGTAAAGATTCTGTAAGGAAACCAAGTGGAACATCTCCCACATCTAACACACTTCCAAAAAGGTGACTTGAGTGCTATCAGGGAAGAAAAGAGAAGAACAGAAAAACAAAACACTGGGGCATGGGAGAGATGGAAGATAGAATAGGAAGGTTTTTATTAAAAAACAGAAAAGGGTTAGGGTAAAACTAGGGTAAAAAAGTAAAAATACTAAAGCAGAAAGTCTAGAAACATGAGAGCAAAGTGAGTTGAAAATGTCAATATTGAGAGAGGAAATTCTTGAAGACCCCACCACGGTGGTTGGAAGAGAACAAGGGAAAGGGGCAGACATCTCTCCAAGATATACCAGGGGGCAGGTGGAGAGGGATTCCTGAAAGAACAAGTCTAGCTTGGAAATTTGCATAGGTGCAGAGCCCATGTGTGTGATGCACAGAAACCACAAAGAAAGAAAAACATAAGGCCACACTAATTGAAAAGAGAATGTTTTACCCCAAAAAATCCACAAACCTTTTAATAAATTAAAGACATACAGATATTCCCAGCCACATTCTTTAAAGATACTATATCTATGGCAAAAGCACTCACATCATATAGCCAATAGCATGATTAGTTGAGTGGGAAAAGCAATTTGGGGGGCATTGAGGAATAGATGAGGGCAATTCCAAATGGTAAAAAACAGCAGGGAAAGATAATTTACAACATACCCAATACACCCATGCAATACATATGCACTTACACACTCTCTTTCACACTCACATCCACAGACTCTTTTGCTAAACCTCAAAACCCACTGGCAGTTGCTTTCTGTAGAACAGCAAAAGCCACTGGAGAAGAAGGTATCATGCAATTACACATGACTGAATTTGCATAACATACTAATCCAACCAAGATAATTAGCCATAGTGGATAGTTGTGCCATACAAGTCTGGACTGCTTTCCACAGGATGGCTTGTTTGCAGGCAACAAGTCACATGGGCGTAGTTCAAACCTGGGCAATTAGCCCAATCATAGCTACAGAAATAAGTCAACCACTCAGCAATAACAGCTCAGGCCACTGCCAGTGACAACTTCTCTACCAAGTGCCAAGCAACTTTTTGAAGAAACGCTCAGTGGTTTCGTTTCCTCTGCACAAACTATGGCCCCTTTTCTAATCACCAAAGCCTTTTTCCTCATTACCACTCTTCTCTGGAGATCATAATTTGCCAGCTCTGAAATTACAGCCATTCATAGTTTCTTCAAAGTGCCTAAGCAGTGCAATAGAACAGCTACCATTTCATTTCAAAATAATAGTTTTTGCTCTCAAAATTTGCACAAGTGTTTCATTTAACTCTTTTGGTTGCAAATCAATAATACAAAAGCATGGTCTTCCTCTCAAAGTATAGGAAGCACCATTCATGGAAATTGCCAAAGTAAGGATACAAACAGGTTAATTTGCTGCTTTGCTTTTCATTTGACAACTGTCAAACAGCAAGCTGTTAAAGGCAAAACAAAGCTGCAAGGGGATCTTCGCTAGCAAAATAGGCTGGGATGTAGGCTATACCCTTTGCAGTGAGATCCTCTAGTTTTGTTTAGATTTTGGTTTAACTTGACTGTTTGCAGTGTCACCTTTTCCCAAAATTCTAGCTGCTCAGAAAAGGCAGGGGGACAACCCATTGTGAGCCTAAGTGTCCATCAGGTACACCTTGAGTTGTTCTAACAAAAACCTCAAACCATGTAGCTTATTCACAGGGTAGGTTCTTTGTTATATAAATTTGGCCCTAGATTGGTTCTTAAAATGCCAATGAAAACTTATGTGGAAAATTACAACTTAAAGTATACACATTATACATAAAGTATACATAGTTATTCCAAACTATTACCTTAGAGTAAATCCAGACATGACCAACACTACACTGGGAAACAAACGTACCTGACTGAGTAGCTGCCCATGAAAAATGGTGTTTACCACCTTCAGGACCTGCTTGGTGAGCTTCCTCTGTGAAAAAGGGATGAGGATCCTGCGTTTTGTTCCTTCAGATTCCAGCTCCTGCTGCACTTTGTCCAATAATTCACAGAGAAATTCCTGAGCATCTTGCTGGTCATAACCTCGAAATGCTGGAATCAGACTCCACACAGAATGCAACATGGCAAAAGGAGATACTGAAGCCCACTTCCCAGACCACATTACTCTGAAGAGCGTGTGCAGTTCATGACAGAGAGAAATGTGCTTTGAACTTGGCTCCTTAGGCTGTATTAGTTCTAAACTTTTGCTTATTGAGGACCCGCCATTTAAGCCAGCTGGCAGGCTCTGCCTGCCATATGAACTCAGTTGATCATTCCTCCCTGACTCAGTAGGAGCAGGCCCATTGACCAGCTTTCCAGACATTCTAGACTTTCCATTCACGGTCTTAGCTAAAAGTTCTTCAGTTTCACAAAGATCCAATGTCAAGAAACATTCTCTGAACTTCTGAAGGTGACTTAATACTTGAAGGATAGAGTTCATGTAGCATGTATTTCCTAGATTCTTTAGTCCAGTCACACCAGGAGTCATGAGAGGCTTACGTCGGATGGAATAAAACTGCTTGAATTTGCTACTTTGCACTCTCCTTGAGGTAGGGGAACTTGTTTCCATATCTCTGAACTTCCGAGGAATCAGATTCTCTCTGCGAATATGTGACAAAAGCCTAGCACTTTTTCTTGGAGGGGTGTTTGCCAGTTCCTCCAACAACCTCCGCTTCATCTCTTGACGACGCTGTCTGGCCACCTCCTTCTTCTTCTCTAGTTCTTCCATTTGCTTCTTTTGTTCAAGTTTCTGCTGGCCTCTAGAACTTTTATCAAACCACGTCCGCAATGCTTTTGCTAGCAATGATTGCCGTCTGTACCAGAGAGCTGTAAGCATCTGAGGCTGTCCCTGAGGGGCCCTCTGATGGCTGCAAACATCATCCCCCAAAGCCATTGACCGTAGCATCCTACTACTTCGAGCAGATGGATCATGCTTCTGACTTTTAATTGCTGAAAGAGAACTTCTTAATAATTTCAAGTCACCCTCGGGATTATCATTCAACACATAATCTTCACAAAGGTAACAAAACACATAGAGATCATTTACTTCCATTGCCAAAGGATGCCTGGTCTCTTCAAAGTGTTTAAGTGCATGGTCCTCAATATATCTTCCACAGGCAACATGGGAGCATTTTAGGCAAGCCCAAATGGATTCCGTGGTGTTGCACTCCATGCAGTGCCACTTCTGGGGATTCAGTATAGAATGGTCCTGGGCAAGTCGTAGCCGCCCAACATGTTTGCATCTATCCATGTCTTACATAAAGCTCCTCCGCTTTAACCTTGCAAAATAGCAACAGAACAACTTAATTATCACACATTAAAAATATAATAATGTAAACATTCTAAGACAAAATACCAACCCACCCAACCCAACTTAAATATTTTTTCATAGTTTAATATACTGTATAAAAATGAGATGTGGCAGAGAGAAATGAGCTGGGTGAACTCTAGACACACATATTCATGCTAATTACCTGGTCAGTACAAGCTTTCTGTTGGGTCTGAGGGCTGATGGTGCAAGGTAGAAAGGAAATTTTAATAACGTGGTAAGAGGTGTCCAACAGGGTTTGCCGCCTCTTACAAGACACCCAACTAGTTGCACCTAGCCGTGGCCAGTACCTGCAGACCAATAGGCTCCCAGGGTAACAGGAAAAGGACACCTAGTAAGAGAGATGCCTCAAGCCAATAACTTTGCCTCACTTGCATTTCACTATCCCAGCCAAAATAAGCAACATTTGAAATGGGGCAGGGATGAAGGAGAGCAAAGGAGAAAGAGGAGCAATAAAAGGACAAGATGGAGGGCAGGAGGAGGACACAAAGGAGAAGCTAAAACAATGGCAACAGGAATCCAGGCCACATGGCAAAAAGGGAGCACAAGGAAGGACATGACTTGGAATATGCACATGTGCTGATTTTGATGGCTGTAGTCAGATTACCAGCTGGTACAGTGTGCCTCCTTGGGAGAGAGAAAAGCCTTTTCTTGGTCCCTGTATTGGCAAACCACAGGTTGGTCTGAATAAACAACTTGTTACCTTTGTTTTAGATAGTAAGGAAGACTTGGGGTTTGAACACCATTGTATGTAAGATTACAAACCAGAATGAGGGAATGTTGGCAAAGCAAGCAGCAGACCTGGGCTTATTACACGCTATTTATCCAGGAGTTCCTGGAAGCAGCAGTTATTACCTGGGGAGGAGACGATCCCTTCCATAATATATAAAGCCTGGCCTATTACTATTTGTCGAGTAGTAATTCTACTTTTTGGTTGAAGTTTCCACAGACTTGTGGTGCATGGAACTAGGAAATAAAATTCCTTCCAATGCTTTTTGACTGCAGTCCTGCTGATGGAAGTACTGGTGCAAGGGGAGGTATTGATGTTCCCCTTTCTCCAGACTTGCTAACATGTGTTTAACCAGTATTGCATCTTTGGCTGGATAAGTACTAAGCATAGGAGCTGCAGATTTTTACCTTTATATGACATAGGGTGAAACCCAGCTTCTTCCTATCTTTCAATGAAAGATGTATACCCATTGATTCTAACACTGATTCAGTTAATCTTGTCCCTCTCCTGTGTTTTGGGTGGGGTACTGTATTTTTCAAAACTCCACTTATACACTTATTAGTTGCATTATTAAATCAGCATTTTCATTTTAAAAGATTTCCTAAACCACTCCAGATTAGGGTTACACAAAATAGGGAAAGTTAGTTTGTTTGAGCCAAACAGATTTCTTGTACACTTCCAGTGATCAAAAGTGGCCAAACTAGGGGAAATGCACAGATTTCCATCTCTAAGAAAGAATCCAATCTGCATACATTTTAAACCAGTAATGAAAATTATGCAAATAAGCACCCAAAACTACATGGTTCCAGTGTGATTTGTGCAAAATTAACCAATTCTGCAAAAATCATGCCACAACTATCTAAGTTTTGACTGCTTATTTGCACACATTTCATTTGCGGTTTAAAAATGCACAGCTTGCACTCTATCTTAGAAACAGCAGTTTGCAAGCTTGTGGAATTCACATCACTGCAAGTAAGCTTCATTGTGGGGCTAATGAACCAGAATCTAGGGAGCCTACCAGCTTCCTTACACATCCATAGTCCAGATTATGGAATGGATGATGGAGTGACTTGGTGTCCTGCATGAGCAGGGGGTTGGCCCCAATGGTCTCCTTGGCCCCTTCTGACCCTAGTATGAATCTAGAACAGTGCTTTTGTTCTATTAGTTGGACAATTTCAGAAAGTAGTGCTTGTCAGTTTCATGTTACAGAGTCCTATGAGTGCCCATTCATTTGTTGTTTATTCATTTATTTTCTGAAGCTTTGTTCTACATAAAGCCATCGCAAGTGAAGTAGATGCTTACTACCAACTTGGTAATGTTATGTTTTCAGCACCAGATAGCGTTGGGAGAAAGACCATAAATATTTTGTGGTTTGTTTCTCTCTGATAAAAGAAAAGAAAAATGGAAATAGATAGTGGAGAAGCATGTAGGATCAAAAAGATGAGTGATTTAGATAGTATCTCAGCTGCAAATTGTGAATGTATTGGTGGGAAGATACAAGACTGAGGCATGAAAGGGTCACAAATGAACTTTGACTTCTCTTTGTGTATGGAGCATCTAGAGATAAGATTGCTAGACTAGCAAGAGGTGCCTAAGGGAGTAGCAGGGGGTTAATGATAAAATTATTAAGTGGAGATGAAATACTATAAAAGCTTTGTGTTTAATTAAGTTTGTTGCAGTTCCTTTTTGCATACTGCCTATCCATGGGTATACTCTGGTTGCCTTGACTTGCCTATTTCTTAATAAAGTGCCACTGATTTATTTTTCCATTTGAGTTATTTGTACCTGTGCTTTCCAGGAACCCTACAATAGTGATCTTGAACAATTTTCCCAGGCTGTTGATTGTTTTTGCTATTTTTTTACTTGGATTTTTGTTAATATTTTGCTTAGGATATCATTTTATTATGTAAATTACCCCAAGAATATTTCAACTGAAAGGTGGCACAAACATTTTACAAATAAAGTAAATAAAGTCATCAACAAACAAACGAACAGCTCAACTTCTTCTCACTAACACATGATAATTGGGAAACTCAGAACTAAACATATTGTACACTCTTAGGACATTACATATAAACAATCATTCTATTTAGCATCAATGTTTGTAGCAAACTTTGAAGAACACTAGAATCCTTGTCTGTATTCTTTTTAAACAGTAAATTGATCTACTCATAATTTTCCATATACTGATAGAAATTAATGAGATCTCACAATAACCTTTGAAGCTATATAGCTATAGCAGTATAGTTATAAAGATAGCTATACTGAGCTATCTTTAGAGCTACTGAATTAATAGGAAAGCATTTTAAGGGAATGGCCCTCAAATTTGTAATCATATGACTCCTAGACATTTTCTGAGGGACCAAAGAATAGCTCAGATTTCCAGATCTGAGGGTGGAGACAGTACTGGGACCTTGAGAGCTAGTAACTGGATATCAAATACCCATCCCTTGCCACCTCACAGCCAAAACAGAAAGAAATGCCCTGGCTATTCTCCAAGATTAGGAAAACAACCCCAGAGGGGGTAAAAGATGGTCAGAGGTGGTGGAGTGCGCACTGGAGAAGCCAGGATAAAAGGTATCCTGAATTCCTATCCAGCTTCCTTCCCTCCCCCTCCATTATACCCCCAGCTAGACCAAAAAACAAAACAAAACCCTCATCTAGAAAAATTGCAGAGTATAAGGATGGAGAAGCAAAGATCACCTCTAGTGCTCCTCCCATTACACAGTGGATGCCCAAAAACCTCTGAGTTTGGGAGCTTACAGGCATTTCCCAACTCACAAACTTTCCAATAGGATGCACCTTAAAATGCAACGAGGCCCACATATATTGAGGAAATATTAGCTCCATGAACACATGGAGCTTTCCTCTGTAGCTGCTGACAAGGCAAGAGCTCTGTTACTCAAGCTCAATTGTGCCATATGCACACAGCCAGACATAAAACAAGTTTAAAACAGGAGACAATACTCACCGATTCATATTTAAATATTCTCGTAACGCAATGACCAGAGACTGGAACACCCCCATTTCAGTCAATAGGCTCTTTAAGTGTTTCTCAAGAATTTAATCACAACTTATAGATCTTCATCAGAAAAAGGCAATGCAACATAAAACACCTAGAGAGAAAATATGCCTATGAAACATACATAAATAAGGCCAAGGCTATGAAGTTTTAGAAAATGAACAATTGCTGTAGGAGAAGAGCTACTGCAAAGGATATACTTTAATGAAGTACAAACAATTAATTAGAAACCATGGGAGTAACACATCCACTGAAGCAAAGATATGAAAGAGGCACTCTGGAGTTTCCATTATTCAAGAGCACCTGCTTTATAACAGTGTGCTAATCATGTATAGTCAGATTATTAGGACATCTAATAATTTACCTATCGTGTTACAAAGTAAAATTTAAGGAAATCATCCAGAAAAGTAGATAAATAAATAATATATATCTTTGATTTAGGATGGCAGAGAAAATGGCTTTTTCTGGGAGGGGGGGAAGCTGCCATGAATTCCTATCAGATTTGTGCTTGCCTAAAGCAACTACAGTACAAATTTACAAACAAATTTAAATGGGGGGAAAGAAACTCAGTTTACAATGGATAGTTTACATGGACTAAATAACTTGTTGGAAACCAGTAAAAAAAACCATCCATATTAACAATACCAGCACAATGCATAGTTTCATTATGCCTGTGAAAAACAACATTGTTACAGATGTGCTTGATGCTGATCAAAAGAATCCTACCACCACCACAAACATCTGTGAGTGCATAGTAAATCATTCCTCACATTGTTCTCTTCTCACAACTAGTGCTGGGTAGCTTTTCCTGGAGGATCCTTTTGTCCTAGAAGCAATCCAATTTATTCTCTGACATATAGCTCCATGGGGAATCTCTCTATTTGCATGTCTTTGGCCTCCCACTAAGCAGATTTCAATAGGTATGATGTTACTGAGAAGGGGTTTGCCAGGGGTGCTAGTCTTGAGAACTTTCCATGAATTTTAGCAAAGAACAAAGAACTGAGGAGGGAGGGGAGAGGGAGAAAATAGACCAATAAGGAACTCCCCAGAAGATTATATGGGAGAGGGAGAAGTGCCTTGGTCCTTCATCAAAGTGACCAGCACAACAGAAATGTGAGGCAAGCAAGAAGTCAAGATAAGCAGTCCCAGATATGTGGTAAAAACTTACTGAAAACTAGGAATAGGTCAAGAAAGCAACGTGCAATCCATAAATCCATATAGTCATAATCTTCAACAGAAAAAAAGTCAAGTACATTGGTCATATACCTCCCTTTGTTCATCCCACCGTTGTACCATGCTGTTTTCCCCACTGTTGACATTTAGATTATATACTTCTCAGAGCAGGAACCAATTTTTTTGGCTTATATTGCTATGTAAAATGCCATATACTTGGACAAAGCTATATAAATAATCCTAGAGCCTACAAGAGAGCAAGCCCAGCTATTAAGCACATAATTTAAAACAGATTTTTAAGAATCATTAACAAAATTAATTCTACTACATCAGAAGCCTACTGTAATCTAATGTTAAGACTAAGCATATGGGTGTGAGCTACATGCTTTAGTGTACATGGAATTTAAAAGCTTTTATCAAGGTCCTTCTCCAAAAGGTTTATATGAACACAGGGGATGGAACAATAGTAAAGCACTCCCCACAGAGTGCAGAATTGCTCCTTTTAGATTCTTAACCACTCTGTCAGTTGGATGTGAACACATGAATTGGCCTAAAACCCTCTAGGGAGCTTTACAGATGAGCAGGGATTTGAACCATCTAAACCAACCATTCCAAATAATGCAGGATCACACTGTTGAAATGGATGATATTATTATTATTATTATTATTATTATTATTATTATTATTATTACTACTACTACTACTACTACTACTACTACTACTTAATTTAGTGGTGGAACTTCCATTCATGGGAGTGGGGGATCTGGGTGGTATAAAATGAAATAAATACATCTATTGCACATGTCAAACAGATGATCCCATTAAGGGAGATCAGTACCTGCTTCAACAGATTTGTTTAAAGTACAATCCTATGCATGTTCAGACAAAAAAAAATTCCTGTGACTCCCAAAATGGGACTGTTATTCATTTAAGGCATTTTTAACTATCTTTCAAGACTAGTCTTCCCAAGGTGGCTTTCAAAATAGATTTGACCTGTCTATACCTTAAAACAAATCAAACACATGGCAGATGTGCATAATTATCTTTTTTCTTAGTAACAGTGTGTGCTCAAACAAAGCCAAAGGCTAGCCTTGCATACAGGTCACATGAGAACTAGCAACTCCATCCTCTTCTTCTATAGCGTGTTTCCCTGAAAATAAGACCTAACCGGAAGAAAAGCCCTAGCATGATTTTTCAGGATGCTCGTAATAGAAACCCTACTCCAAAAATACGCCCCAGTTAAGATCGTCCGCCAGACAGACAGGGAAACATGGCAGTATGTCCGTTGCAACACACAAGAGAAGTATTGAATTATAAAATAATAATGTTAATATATAATTAAATATAAATGAATATTTAATACTTAAAATAAATGATAATATACATTATAATTATTTGTAAATAGTGAAGTGGGCACCTTTAGACGAGAGGTAAACGCCTATGTAAACAGATGAATGCGAGACTTATTGTCAAATGACTAATCAGAGTGCAGACACAACACACAAACATCAATACATCATGTTTTGTAATGGATATTCTTAATGCATGGATGTAAAATACAAGTTGGGTGCAAAAAGAAAGAGCTATTCCGTCAAGTACAAGGAGGATTCTCGGGGCAAGAATCTAACAGCTTTCGTAAGAAAAAAATAAGACATCACCTGAAAATAAGCCCTAATGTGTCTTTTGGAGCAAAAATTAATATAAGACCCAGTCTTATTTTCGGGGAAACATGGCATTAGAAGCCTCTATCAACCACCAGAACAGTGGCAGAACATTATTTCCTTAGTCTCTCATGCAAAATATTCAACTGAGAAGTATACAGTAAATATTTGAACTTGCACTATTTTGCAGAACAAACCTGATCCTGAATATAACTGTTCATTTCTACATGCAGCATTAGACTGATGAACCTCAATCCAAAACTATTCTGCCGATATGGCTTTGAAGCAATACATAGGAATAACACATGGCTATTCTGTTCATTTCTATCTTCACCCTTTGTTTCACATGCATCATCCCTCTACAGCCACTTCTATGACAGTTACACACACTAAGCAAGGGCAGACTTATGTTTAGCACTCACCCTGTAGTGAGAGATGCAGCTGATTCTTGCATATGCACTTTAAAATATGTATGACTTTCCATAAGTTTAAGCTTCAGCTTTGTTTTGCGAGTACTTCACATTTGTACTATAGGAGCATCCATTCTCTACATTCTACAATCATCCCTTAGCTACAGAGGGACCATGATTTGCCCCCAACCCCTATGTATATTCAAGGGTTTCCACAGGACCTCCTTGCCCAGATCCCTTCCACCATGTTTCCCTGTGGATATTTCTTGGCGGAAGGGGGCAGTCTGGCCTCCAACTCTGCATATATTTGCTTTGTTTACTCTGGCTGTCTAACCATATTCACTCATGTGATGTCCCCAGGCAAGCTCTGCCTGGCTGTCTGACCCTCTTCCCACATATATTTGGTTTGGTCAGTTAATCCCTCCTGTTGCAGCTCCTGCCACACTACAAGTGTCCAGCTATCTTAAATACACTGGGTGAATGGAATCAAGTCAACAGCTTCACTAAATCCTTTAAAACCTGCCTTGTTATATATCTGGGGCAATGCCAGGATTAAAAAGATTCCTGGTTCCAAGATGAGGACATTCTAGAACATCAATAAGCTGGGGAGAGGGCAATCCAACTACACAGAGGAGGGCTGGATGCTGTGTTTGAATTTCAGGGAGGCCAAAGGTGGGATTTCCCCATATCCTTTGTAACAGTCCTCTTACATGTTTTTAGAAAGCTATAAGGATTCATAATTTTGTTATAAATTCCCCTACTTCCCCTCCACGTAAGTCACTTAACCTGTTCCCTATCACATCAAGATTCCAACAGTGCCCAATTCAATGTAAACTGAGCCAATCTATATTTTCAATATCTATGCCTTCTGGAATACTTCTAGGAGTACTGCTCACATTTGTCACTTCATTAGCACAGTTGTTGACAATTAAGAGTGTGTGTTGCAGGGAACAGCCAGTTTCTTAGCGTTTGTCTTTAATGGAATTTAAGGAGCTACAAAAAGCCACCAACTGCAATTATAAAGCCTGAATACTGTTGCCTGGACCAAGAATAAAGCCAGGGTACTTCACTGAGACATAGGACAGGGAAAACATTATGTGCTAAGTGTTACAGAAAGGCTACATACCACATCAAATAAGAGGAGTGCTTGAGCAGAGAACTGGCAGCAGTGCTCTGACAGAAAACAAGAACACATATACCAGACTCTACATGGCTGAAAGGTAGAGTAGAGAAATTATTGTTATGTTTCTCATAGTCCTCTAACAGCTCAGACAGCACTTGGCCACACCAACTGAATCATACACTACAGTATCAAAGTTGAATCAACACAGTCATACTGGCAAAACAGTCAACATACCACCTTCAATACAGCAAAAATGCATTCTAGAACAGACTTACCTACCCAGCATGTAATAAACTGGTGTTTTGTTTTCTCATTCCTCATTTTGACATTCACATAGGCCATATTTTGAACAGACCAAGAGATCCTTTAAATGTTACACTAGCCACATGGGAGATATTTTTCCGTGTATGTGTCCTGAACAGATGGGAGTAACATTTCAATAACCTTCTTTCAGAGTTGTTGCAAGAACATGAGTTCTTATTAATGTTACAGAAAAATGACTTGTTGCTTGCAAAAAGTGAAGTGCTTATTTTAGCACGCATGTGTGTGTGTGTGTGTGTGTGTGTTTCTTAATTTTGTATTTGGCATTCATGCCAATCTATGTACTTCAGAAATAATTTGTACTTTGAGTTTGTATTATTGCCTATAAAACAATAAAGAGCTTTCTCACACTTTGATGACTAATTTATTATGACATAAGCTTTCATAGACTATAGAGTCTACTTCA